TCGTTGACGAAATTACATGGTTTTTTTTCTACGTAAACATGTTTATGGGAATCAGCGAAGCATGACATTTTCATCAAATGAGGAGTGTTTTTTCATCAGTGTGCTCATCGTTGCATCTATTTCGTTCTTTCAATATTCTCCTTTTTTTTAGCTTTTCTTTGCATGTGCTGTCGTTACGATGAAAAAATATGCACTAATATTCACATACGCGAGCGCATTATAATTAAATGTGGCAAGGACATGTTGCGATAAGGCAATTTTTTTTCAATATGTAAGAGAAATGCAGTCATAATGAAAATTTTTTCTTTTTTCTTATTTTTCTATTATTTATTTAATTGTAACAGTAATAAATAGAATTTTCGACCATTGCCTGTTGGTGACAAGCTGGTGAAGGCGGTCATTATCGGTATAATATCAAAAAACATCAATAACTGTTTAATTCATAGAAGTAAATCGATATTGCAAAATTCATAATCTAAATCCAAATCTAATTCATAAACTAATTCATAAACCAAAAATTTTAAGATAAAACTCAAGTAAATTGAACTGCTATATGAAACATCAAATATAAGATAAGTACTAGGTGGGAAATAATATTTTGATAGGGGGTACCGCTATAATGTCATATAGAGTAAATAATGAATTTTATATCAAATGAAAGCCCGTCAAAAATGGGGTTTATTGATACTAAATAGTAAGGATTATGAAAACTTTTTAATATCGAACTTAAGAAACTTTCAGAAATTTTATACTTTTTTGGCGATGGAAAAGTAAGATGCCAGTAATTCAAAAATAGAGTAAAATGTTTTTCTTGGATATTCTTGCATGGTTTGATAGAGCTCATCGAGCTCTACAAAACTGTATATATGAAAATTTTTCTGAGTCATTTTTTTATGATAAAAAGTTGAAAAAACTCTTTGGAAAATCTTAAAAAACGTTTAAAAAAGTCATATTTTTGATATGGAAGAAAAATACTCGAATTTTCAATAAAATTAGCTTTTTTTGATTATTTTTACTCCCTCCGGCATTTCAAAATATACTCATTCGATGCAGTTTTTCACGCTGCATCGAATGAGTATATTTTCAAACACCGTACATAAGGATACTAATGGAAAACAGCTGAATTTAGTGTAAAAAAGACCATTTTTTTCCCCTATAAAAAGTGTAAAAACTGCAGGTTTTTTGGCACATTCTTTAAGCAGCTTTTCAGTGAATTTTAACCCAACAGCTCTGGTTAAAAATTTTTCATACATATAGTTTTGTAGAGCTCGATGAGCTCTATCGAACCATGTAAAAATATCGAAGAAAAACATTTTACTCTATTTTTGAATTACTGGCATCTTACTTTTCCACCGCAAAAAAGGTATAAAATTTCTGAAAGTTTCTTAAGTTCGATATTAAAAAGTTTTCATAACCCTTACTATTTAGTATTAATAAACCCCATTTTTGACGGGCTTTCATTTGATATAAAATTCATTATTTACTCTATATGAAATTATAGCGGTACCCCCCTATCAAAATATTATTTCTCACCTAGTATAACTTGAGACAAACGAGTTTTATTCATTCTCTTCTTCGTCTTTCTGGTGATCAGACGTGTTTTTTTTTTATACTAACTACGTACATATATATTATGTATACGTTCTGATCACGCGTCGAACGCGTGTCAGGTTATTTATTCATAATTTCACCAATTATTGAAATTATTATTCACAAATATGGTGAAAAATTATCACCACCTGCCTAATTGTACCAACACCAATGAAAATACTCGTTATCACACAAATTCATTTGCAAATATCGTCGATAATTCTACTGAATGTTATTATGATCCACAATCAAATATGCACTTCAACTATCCGAATAATCAACAACAAAATCGTAAAAATCGTATTCCTCCACCCACTACAACTAATCTTAGAATGTTAGATTCTCCTGCACAGTCTCCTTGTAGACGTATGCGTGAACAAGATGATGATGAATTTACTACTGTTGTACACTATAAAAAACGTAAACAATTTAACAAGGATTTCGATGATCAATTTGAAGATCCACAACTGAAGTACAATAATCCTAATGCACCTATACAACAGCAGACAAGCATTTACAATAATAATCACAACAATGATCCACCACCTCTACT